AACTAGTATTTCTGGAACTGCCTAGCAAAGACAACGATGTTTAACTGTCTAGTTGATGAGTCACGCACACACTTAGATCCAAGTGTAATATTTCTACATGTATCAGTGTTTGGGTCAATTTTTATTTATTAATTTCTGAAATGATGAAATGATGCAGAGATAAATGGGCAAATTTATAAATTTAGTCACCTACTTGCTGTAACAATCAGCTGTAAGGTGGAGTTATGATGTCCTCTTGTGTTCTGTGCAACACAGTAATAACTCCCAATGTGTTCGGGTCTGAAGTCAGTGATGGTGAAGTTCTGGCCTGATGCTTTTGGTGATTCTTCATCCTCCTTGTACCAGGTGTAATTAGCTGCTGGGTTAGCATCACTGCTACAGGTCAGAGTCACTGAACTGCCCTCCACTATCTCAGCAGAGGGACTCACTGACACAGAGGGAAGCCTCGGACGATCTGCAGCATATTGGAGACCAGTCGTCAATATTTGAAAGCCTTGTTTTGTTTAGGTTAATCAGTATTTTTTTTTTTTTACATTTTTAGAAACCCAATAATGCAGAGTCAGAATATATAGATTACATAAAACACATTGTTGTAAACTCTTTGCATGTACAGTACATTCAGAAAAGTGTTCACCACGCTTAACTTCCAGTTCCACATTTTTGTAATGTTACAGCCTTAAAGTTCTACACACAATACATAGATATAGAATAAGGCTGTAATATGACGAAATATGGAACAAGTAAAGCACGGGAAATACTTTCTGGATGTACTGTAATGCCAGTCTTAATCCAGTTTATCCTGTTTACACAGGGGCACAGTGACAGACTATAAATGGTGAGCATTAAAGCACACTAACAGAGAAAGAGAGAAACATTCATATTGACCGCTACTGCCAGATTAGAATTACTGATTAACCTCATATGCATGTCCTTGGACTGTGGGAGGAAGCCAGAGCACCAGGAGAGAACCCACACAGGGAGAACATGTAAACTCCACACAGCTGGCAAGAAGATTCAATCCCAGAACCTTATCATATTTATAATTATAGTTTAGCATGTTTGCATCATAGATCGTATAAAAGACGGGCATGACGTGAAAAAGGAGGGAGGAGAGTCCGACTATAAAACCATTTACTCACTGCCAAAGACTCAATCACAAGTCATTTGTCAGTTAGCATATAATTTTGAAAAAAGTATGACCAAAAATTCAGAAGTCTTTTTTTAGCCTCATCTAGTGCTATCAAGTGTACTTAATAGAGCAATTATTAGCAACTAGACATGCTTTCTGAGCTGTTCACTGAAATACTTACACTCGACATCTATGTATAGAGTTACGGACTGTGCTGGTCCATACAGATTCTCAGCTTTGCACGAGTAGTTCCCGCTGTCCTCAGAGCTGATGGAGGATAAATGGTACCTTCCCGCTGGTCCATGAAGCAATAATTTGTTCTCCTTGTACCAGGTGTAATTAGCTGCTGGGTTAGCATCACTGCTGCAGGTAAGATTGACTGAACTGTCCTCCACTATCTCAGCAGAGGGACTCACTGACACAGAGGCAAGCTTTGGAGCATCTGGAGGAGAAATAGAAAATATACTAAAAAACATGTATTCCTGTTCCTGTTTGACCCCAGAATTTGTGACATATTAAACCTTTTCTATAGCTGAATATTGATACAGGTTTTAGACCTGCAGCATGTACTGTGACTCTATGACTGTATCGGGGTTTGCAAGGTGTGGCCTGGTTTACTTTTAGAAACTATTAATTAATTACTGTTAAAACTATTAATTCTGCAAAGACAACTGTCTTCACTCACATTTCACATTGATAAAGATGACTTCAGATGGTCTTTGACCCAGCTCATTCTTAGCGGTACAATGATACTCTCCAGAGTCAGAAGACTGGATGGACCTGAAGATGAGCCGTTGTTCTGTACTGATTGGTTTTTTGTCCTTGTACCAGGTGTAATTAGCTGCTGGGTTAGCATCACTGCTGCAGGTCAGATTCACAGAGCTACCCTCCACTATCTCATGAGAGTTATTCAGCACCAGTACTGAAGCAAATTTTGGAGCATCTAGGAGGGAGAATATAAATATTGATTAGATTTGATTTGATTTTAACAAACACAATAAATAAAGCAATTTAATTATCAGTCATTTTCTGAATCTGTTATCTTCAGCATATAAACTTGTTATGTATAGATCAGTCGAGTTTCTCAGTCTTACTGCTCATGTTGCATAAATTCACAGAACGGACTTTCTACAGCCGGACCTCTCTGTGTAGTCAGAGCACTGCTGCTGATCTCTTGTTCAAAATTACCACACAGGTACAAGTACCACAATGCTCATTACATTGGTAACGGTATCTTCTAAAGTAATGAATCATGCCTTCCAAAAACAAATTTAATGATGAACGCTGTAGTTTATGGTTGGTTGATATCCTCAGCTTATAGAATAGATTGTTTGGTTTGAAATGGGTAATTAGTTCAAGTTTAGTAAACACTTATTTATCACAACGGTAACATTGATATCCATATTGTGACTGCAGAATCATCATGTTCCTGAATTATGAAGAAAAAAAAAGTCACATGAAATAGGCCTGGCAGTGAGAGAAGGATGAACGATCTTTCCAAACTTCCAAAGGAAGAGCTCCTTGTTTCCTTACATGAAGCAGATTTCTTGCTCAAAAATCGTTCAGTGTACGGTCGTCTTTCATTAGAGTATATGATATCTTCACTATGCAGTAGCCTACAGCTGGGCAGTGAAAGGAGCTGATATATCCTGTCCTCTGTTCACAAACACATTTAGTGTAAATCAATGCAGGCTTCAGTTTTGTGAACCTGACTCCAACTATCATCACTTTGAAGTTATTTATAATCTGTCGGAATGATGAAAGTCTGTGACTGAATCATGAAGTGAACTCACACACTGGTGGAGAGCGGGAATCCTCGCATCCTGTGAAAGCACAGGAGATGTTGTCTTCAGGATAAAGGCGGTCTGTATAAGTAGAAGTTTGCTGTTTTGTGTTTTTCTGTCTGTTCTTGAACCACACGAAAGAAAGACGACCAGCTGAGCAGATCAGGAGCAGTACACCTAGAGTGGCGGACCAGTGTGGTGGTTCCCATCTTTAAGAAAGCGGACCGGAGGGTGTGTCCCAACTATAGGGAGATCACACTTTTCAGCCTCCCTGGGAAAGTCTATGCCAGGGTGCTGGAAAGGAGATTCCGTCCATTAATTGAACCTGAGAGTCAGGAGGAAAAATGTGGTTTTCATCCTGGTCGTTGAACACTGGACCAGCTCTTTATCCTCTCAAGGATAATTGAGGGTGCATGGGAGTTTGCCCAACCAGTCTACATGTGTTTTGTGGACATGGAGAAGGCATTCAACCGTGTTCCTTGGAGTGTCCTTTGGGAGATTCTCCGGGAGTATGGGGTGTTTGGCCCATTGCTACAGGCCATTCGATCCTTATACAACCTTTGCAAGAACTTGGTCTGCATAGCCGGCAATAAGTCGGACTCATTCCGGGTGGGTGATGGGCTCCTCCAGGGCTGCCCTTTGTCATCAATTTAGTTCCTAATTTTTATGGACAGAATTTCTAGGCGCAGCCAAGTGGTGGAAGGCTTTCACTTGGGTGGTCTCAGGATCTCATCTCTGCTTTTTGTGCACAATGTGGTTCTGTTGGCTTCATCGGGTGATGGCCTCCAGCTCACACTGGAACAGATCGCAGCTGTGTGTGAAGCAGTGGGAATGAGAATCAGCACCGCCAAATCTGAGGCCATGGTCCTCAGCAGGAAAAGGGTGGAGTGCCCAGGCGGATCCGGGAAGAGTATTTCGGGGTCTTGTTCCCGAGTAATGGGAGAAGGGAGCAGGAGATCAACAAACAGATTGAAGCTGCGGCTGGAGTGATGCGGGCGCTGTACTGGTCCATTGTGGTGAAGAGAGAGCTGAGGGTAAAAGCGAACTCTCAGTTTACCAGTCGATCTACATCCGTACCCTCACCTATGGTCATGAGCTGTGGGTAGTGACCGAACGATCGAGATTGCGGATACAATCTGCTTAAGATATATGCTTAGGCCCCTGGATAGGCAGAAGAAGATGGACGGATGAATCGATGGACATTTTGTATTTCGCTGTTAATAGTTAGAACAAAGAAAACACTCTTCTACAGTGCGTTACAGTGATTTCCTTAAATAGATATTCCTCTAAAGTGGGAAACTGATCTTTCATGTTCTCTGATCAGGATGAAACAACTCTTCAGCACGATGACTGTTATTTTGGACTTTACCTCAGTGCCTGCCTCTGATTCATGAACTTGACTCTGCTCACCTTTAAGCTGTTTGTACAGTAAAACACTCAACAAATTTAAACTGCTGTATAGTATTGTGAAATATACTTAATATTGAACATTTTGGTTAACAAAAAAAGTTAAAAATATAAAAAATATTCACCATGTTTATCACAGTGAAGTAAACTTACACACAGGATCTGAGGGATAATCTTCGTGTCCTTTGAAAGCACAGGAGATGATGTCTCCAGGATTGAACAGATCTTGATAAGAACTTTGTTCAACCATAAACTGATTGTTTTTGAACCAGACAAAAGAAAGACGACCAGCTGGACTGCAGCTGCTTTCACACTTCAGCTCTGCCTCAGTCTGAGACTCATGGACTGATATTATTCTGCTCACCTTCACCCGTGGAACTGTGTGAAATAAAAGTATTCACATTGTTAAACAGTCAAACCACAAAGACACCAACAAGTAAATAATTAACAACACAAGATTCAGTTTGTAAAATTGAACTGAATGAAATTATGAGTCACTGTGTATTCATCAGCACCTGTGACAGTCAGAGTTGTTCCAGGTAAACTACTCCTCCATTCAAAGCTTTGTGTTTTGAATTTGAAGTGATACTCGGCTGAATCACTCTCTGTCAGGTCTCTGATTCTCAGAGTGGAGCGTCCTGTCTCTGTTTCAATCACCTCAACACGACCTGCATACTGGGAGTCTTCTCTGAGGTCCTCAGATCCATGACGAGAACGGAACCAGGATTTTGATTGGATTGAACTTTCATAACTGTTGTAAGTACAAGAAATGTTCACTGATGAGCCTTTGACTGCACAGATTCTTCTGTTACTGTAATTCACTCTGTTGCACCACTGATGTTTGGCACCTAAGAGATAAAAAAACATGCTTATTGACAGAAAGAACACACCATTAATAAGCC